AGAATTATATTATTGAACCCCAGTTTTTCTTCATCTTATCACAGAGTTCTTTGGTCCTGAGTCTGATAATTTGATATGGGAGACTGAGTACAGCACACAAGTCTTACACATTTCTGGAAAAACCTATTTATGCCCCTAATGCTTAAATATCTTAAGATAATCTCCAATTAGTTCAATTGTTATCTAAATCTCATGACCTATCCTCAATTATTCACGTTAATATTTCCAGGTAAAATGAAATGCCCTGCATTTGTGTCTCACTTTAAAAGAATCAAATATTAAGAGGAAAACACTAGTAGGCATTCACAATGTGTATGTAAGAAAATTTTGGAGTGACTTTAGAAACATCAGTAAATAAAGGATACAGCATTGTGGGTTATGTTTACATGTGAATGTGAAAGCAGGATTTGAAGCAATAAAAATTATCTAAAGGAAGTAGTAGAGTCTGAATCCTAGGAAATCTTTCTGAATAAAATAGTCAAATGTTATAAAGTTTAGACATTTATAACCCAAGATAGAGGATATTTTGCTAGACCATTTCTCCAGGTCTCTTTCAGTTATAAATTTCAGATTTTACTCCACAAAACTTGTAGGACAGGTTTCTTTACTGTGATATGAGAATTAGAGGATTAAAAATGTATGGTTGTCAATGAGTAAAACTTGAGCTAATTTGAACTTGTCAGAGATTATATGAGGAAGAGTAGTCAAAAATATTCTGCAAATCTCTACAAAAAATCTTTAAATCTCTCTTTAACTTTCAGAAATGATACTCTGTAAAGAAATTTTTAGTATTTATTTCTGAATTCTAAAACAAAAAAGTCAAGACAGATAGCTACTAAACACTTACATGTATATAAGGGTGCACCTGGAAAGTTTGGTAGCTGTTAAGGATCCTTTATGAGATAATTCATCTATTGATTTCTATGTTACTTACTTATCACTTTACTCTAGAACTAAATTTTAGATATAGAAATAATTTATCACTCAGAGGATTGACTTTTGATTTATAAAATCCACAAGGAATCCTAGAAATTTAGAGAAAGAAGGGATCTTAAAAGTTACCGAGTCCAAACTTTAATTTTACCAGGTGAGGAAGCGAAGGCAGGAGAAAAGTGACTTCACCTTGGTCCATACCGCTGTGCCCTAGTTGAGTTAGGTCAAGAATACCAATTTACTATTCTGGTGCAAATCCCTCTGGTCTACACTGCACTTAGGCTATATCTGTCTTAGTAGTTTTAAAAATTTGTGGACTCTGCACTGTAAATTAGTTTTTTTTTTTTTTTTAAAATAATAACCTATAATCAGAAATCAGAGCTTCAGGCATACTCTCTTAGAGTGTTAATCATTTATTTATTTTTCTTGGATCATTAAATTATTTTTTCAATAAGAATTGGAAATGAAGTAGAATAACCTATGTTGGAATTTAAGTGTATCACATTTCAAAAAAAAAAAAAACACAAAATTTCAATTGGGAAAATCTATTTACATGTGATTAAATTTTAATTAGTATCCTTAACCTAGAACCCAACAGCTATAAAGGAATATTCTTAGCTTGTAAAAATAACAATCCACCCTAAAGACGAAAAACTCAAATGAAATCAAAGAAGCCTTCCTTTAAAAAAGATGATTCATGCATGGGTGTGTGTGTGCACACGCACATACATGCATACATATGCAAACACATGAAACATATACTACCAATTTATGTCTTAATTTGCAGCCAAAGCAAATTGAATACTGGATATTGAAAATGGAAGCAAGTTTAACAGTTGAATTCAATCAAGTAAGTAATCTTAAGCAAGGTGAATCTATCTACTTGTCCTGTGTCAACAGAAATCTCTGCACATAAATTCCTTAAATTCATTCACAGGATGGGTCTGAAATGGAAACTCATTAAAAGAATGAATACATTCAAATGATGAAGAGAAGAGCAAAATATAAAGATGGAAACATTTTCCTGAGTAATGAAGATCACACTCTCCCCTCTCCCCCAAATAATTACCATGTCCAAATTGGTCTGACTTACTGGATAAACTGCCCAAAGGCTATTTTACCAATGCTTCATTTTTTAAAAAAATATTTGTTTTATACCTTTACAACTAGCAAAATTTCCCAATAGAAATCGACCAACACTATTACGGGTCCTTCACACTAAGCAACTGAATGCACATTTTCAAAAAGCAAGCTCTCCTTCACCTAATTTCTACCTTTCTAAAGAGAAAATCATTACATTTGATTTTCCAATCTAATTAAATCTACTGGTGATCACTAATTTATTTCGTTTAAAAAACTTAGAGAGATTGTTGTTAAAATTCTTATTTAGGACAACTGTGACAATCCATGTTTTAGGTGTTAACAAGGCAGGAGCACAACTCCTATGATCCCACAACAACCCCTCAGCTGGGAAGTGCCTAGTTCGTGGACCACCGGATGATTCAGACAAAGGAGACAGTCCTTTCTTAGTCAATAAAACCAGCTCAAGTTACCCTTCTCCCTCCCTCCCCCATGTTCTCTATCTTCTCTACAGGAGCCTCCTCACAAATCCCTTGCTGAATCTTTAACATCTGGATATTTAACTCCCTCATGCCTTTTCTCCCCTGAGCTGTCCCCAGTGGCCTGTGCGTGGGTCCTGGGGACTGCTTGTAACCCATCTTCTTTCGGCAAGTTCTTCTTATTACTCCCCACTCCCCTCCTCCGTAAGCCAAGAGCTGGTATGTCTTGAGAAAGTTGTTAGGTTTTGTCTATTACAGGCACAAGAATTCGACTTTCAAAGGGCTACATTGACTCATTGATTTGTATTCCTGCTCCAGACTGTCTCAGCTCCCACACTAAAATGTAAGCTCCCTGCAGGGAAGGATTTGGCAGGTTTCGTTCACTGTGTTGTCTCTACCTCCCACCCTGACGTGACTTACAACATGTCTGCCATATAGTGGGTGCTCAGTAAACATACTGGAGACTTAAAATTGGAAGATTGGAGGAAACAGACAGAGAGAGAGAGAGACAGAGACAGAGAGAGAACCAGATTATCATCCTTACAGTTACTGTCTTTAACTAACCTTTAGGAATTTCACAGACATTAACCAGGCAGCGAGCGGGAACATCCAGGCTGGAGCCTAAGGGATGTACAATGCCCGAAATTGGGAGGCGCAGAGCCTCGGGCCGGAATGGGACAACCCCTGGGGTCCCGCCAGGTGCTACCCGCCCCCAAGGGGCTCGGGGTTCCCAGCCCCCAGCCACCTACTGCCTTCTTGGAGTGCTGGAGCATGCCCAGTGGCCGCGCTGGAGGCACCGAGGGCTTTGCTCGGGCGGACTCCTAATCTCCGGGTTTTAGCAGGAGCCCGCGGGGGGCGGAGGGGTGGGGAAGCCCGCGGAGCCCCGCAGCCTCCGCCGAGAGAGTGAGGAGCTCGCGCGCAGCGCTAGGCTCTCCCTCGCGCTGCGGTTGCTCAGAGATGCTGGAGCGCGGCGCCGGCCTGCTCCACCTGGCGCGCTGAGCGCCGCGCCGGGGGCCCTCGGGCGCAGGCTGGGGGCGCGGACTGCAGTAGCACGCGAGCCGGGCTCCGCCGGCGCTGCAAGACGTCGTGCGAACGCCGTCAGGTGCCGGGTGCTCGCCGCTCGCCGCTCCACTAAGTTGCCTCTTGGTCAGGTCTGGTCTCCGAGGCTCTTTACGCTCTGTAGTGGTGGGGGCGGGGGCGTGGAGAGTTGGAGCGTCTGAGGTAGCCGAAGGAGGGGTCCTGCTTGGGGAGCCTGCCTGGTGCCTCTCTCCTCCTACCCCTCCCTGCTACTCCCCTCCCCCCACCCCGTCGCCGCCGCTTTCCCTTCCGCCAATTCCGAGAGCGACGGACGCCTGTGACATGCAATCGCTGCCAAGTGACGGTTCCCGAGTCTGAAGTGCCCGCGAGGAAGTGAGCGCCAAAGCGGGCCGCCGGCGATGACAGCCATGAAGCAGGAGCAGCAGCCCACCCCGGGGGCCAGGGCAAGCCAGGCGCAGCCGGCGGACCAGGTGAGAGTTGGCAGCTGCGGCCAGGCCCTCCTGGGAGGGGAGGCTCCAGCCCGCGCTCCCCCCGCCTCTCCTCCCCGGCTCGGCTCCCACGCCTCCCTCCCCCCACCTCCGCCCCAGTTCCAGGCTCTCTTCTGCTCACCCATGGACTCCGCAGGAAGTTGGAGCATCTGAGTGCGCTCCGGGGCCGGGCGAGAGGATGCGCAAGGTGGAGAGCCGCGGGGAAGGGGGGAGAGAGGTAAAGGCTGGGGGTGCCGCGGGAAGCCCCGGCGGGCCGGCCGCTGAGGGAGGGAGGGGCGGCCCGGGCCAGAGAAGGGGGGCTGTTGGTCCCTATTCACGCATGTTGGAGGGCTAAGTGGCGCGCCTGGAGGCGTCCACTTGCGGGTTTCGAACCCGGTGCTCACGGAGCTGGGATGCGCGCTGGCCCAAGTGACCGAGTAGGCAAATGACCTTTAGGCCGACAGAGTTGCTCTTTTCCTTGATTTTTTTCCTGTGAGGAGGCAGGAGTAAGGGGAGGAGGGTACTAGGCATCTGTAGTCAGCTGAGTGGAAAGAAGGTTGGGAAGCAAAAAGGTATTCATTATTCAGGCGAGCTGGAAAGGTACTGGCTTTAGCGATTTGTCGGATCTGAATGTGCTGAGTGTTTGTGGAGATGGGATGCTTTGTGTTGGTTGGGGGTTATTCCTGTCTCTTTCCCGTCCTTCTGCACCCGCCACCCCCGTTTTGTTTAGGTTTTTAGGGATTGTAACATAACCATACCAGGGTGGATCCCTGTGTCATCTCTGTTCCTGGATTGGGGTGACTTGGGAGTTCGGTGCCTCTTTTTCCCAAAGTTGGAGGGTCGGGAGCGCTGAGGTGACCTGGCGAGGAGGAAGGAGGCCGTGATGAGCTGGCTCGAGGTGTTGTCACGTTTACATCAATTAGAGACACTGGGCAGAGAGGGCTTCTCTTAGGTCAGGGGATAACTACGAAGCAGAAGAACCGAGGCGCCGGGGGTGCCGGAGATGGTGCTTTCTGCCCCGACTGCACTGTGGAAGGCCGCCCCGACGCGTCTCTGGCGGAAATACTCCCGGCACATTGCTAGAAGTGGGGTGAAGGCGATGCATGCAGCTAGGCTCCTGCAGCGGCTCTGCTCTTCGCTTATTCTAAGCAGTGAGGAGTGTGTTAAGGGGAGCTGTCCAAATCGCCAGGAGTGGCAGCGATAAAGGGGGAGGCGATGCCAGGGATGCTGTTATTAATATTCCAGTCTTGGTCATCTTTCCTGGCTTGCGGACACTCTCTTCTTCCCTTCCCTCCCCTTCTCATTTACCTCACGTATGTTTCACACAGGTGGTGGGATTACTCAATGCCTTCAAGCTCCCCCTTCCCTTTACTGGGGTGAATGTTGCAGTTTTTACAAAGCAGTCGTTTTTCTAAACCATGCTCTTTGCTCCCAACCCTGAGATAGTATAAAAATACTAAAAACTTAATTACACCCTCATCTTATGTCTCCTTCCCCCCCCCACACACCACAGTATAGCAACCAGTTAGCAGATGTATAAAAATAATTTCAGGAGAGGAGCATGGATTTAACATCCTCTTTCAGGCTGACAGCCCTTCAATTTCATTAACAAGCTGCTGAGCTTCTCTACAGCTCTTGGAATGATGCTACCAATAAGAATGATTAGTCAGGTGAGAGTCCCCACATGAAATCTTCAGCCACTAACCTGTGACACCAGCTGGTTACTTGAGGTGCTGCAAACGGTTCAGTGATGGTGGAGGTGGGAAGGCAGAAGCCAAGCTGAGTGCACAGAAGCTGAAAATGTCTATGTAAATAGTGGCCATGTCCAATCTTTTTGTCAGGACTAATCTGGTACTTAATATTCATAGGAAGAGATAGAGTCAAGCTTGACTCCGTTTTTCTTGTTAGTGTGCTTTTTTTTTTTGGCCACTTGAAATATTCAGGGAGTGGCCATTTCCAGAACTCTTGTTTTAATTGAATATTTTAAAGTGCCTTTCTGAGCATTTACATGATTTTAAAATGTCAGTGGTATGCATATTATTCATGAGTTAAAATGAAAGAGATTGATTTTTGCAAAAGGAAGGACAGTCAGGCTGAAATATATACGGCAGCATACCATTGAGGGGTTTCCAAACGCTCCCAGAAAATACCTATGTCTAGTATACTCTTTGTCCAAAGCTTGATGTGAGAAACGATGACCAAATATTGTGGATGATTGCTGTGAATGCTTAGACTACTTGTCTTGCATCTCCCTTGTGATCCAGGATATAACACCTTAACATAGACATTATTGATTGTTCTGGTTTCTGTGATATTTCAGAGAAAAAAAACTTCACACATTTAAATAAAAAGTAGCTTTATAAAATCCTACTTAATAGTTAAATAGAAGACATGTTCCATCTAATCACTCACTATGTATTGATTTTGAATGATTTAAGATTTTGAATGTTGCCAAAAATGGTTTTTTACTTTCCATGGTAGAGATTTTTTTTTTTTTAAATGAAACGTCAAAGACGCCTTGTCCTGAGGCCATCAAACACCTATTTCCAGTCTCAGCACCATGGAAGACCATTATCTTTGCTCCAAGTGAAAATGGTAATGAACCATATCATCTGCTTGCTGTTACGGTCCTCCTGAGAACTTGACCTCCCTGTGCTGTCTTCTCCATCACCGTCCTCCACCACGGGCATGCCATGACCAGAGGCTCTCTCCCCAGTGAGCAGCAGCAAATAGAAGAGCAGGCATTGTCTCTTTTTATTAACATTCTGAATCATGGAAATGTTTTTTTTATCATTTTAGTAATCTTTCCTTTAAAGCTTCATTGAGTAAGTAAATGTTTACAAGTTATTTTTGTTGTTTTCATAGCATGCCACAGTAACAAAATGGCTAAATATAAATGCTCTGCCATGGGTAGATGCAGTTGTTCCCACTTAACATGATCGATGTCTCGTTTTTACACTGAAAAATCTGAGAACTTGAGTGACAAATTTTAACTAATTCTGTTTTTCCCCCCTAAATCAGTTCCTGAGTACCTACTATGTGCAGATTATTGTTCTCAGGGCTGATAATTTGAGTGCATTTTCCTATTTGATTCTTAAATCAACTTTTTGAGGTAGATAGGTCCTGTTGTTATTCCCATGTTAGAGATGAGACTACAGAGAATTAAAGAAGTTATGTAACTTGGCCAAGTTTGGCTTAGAAAGTGGTGGAGCTGAGAGTCAGCTCTGACCTGTGACATTTACAGTTAAGTCTAACGTGACACCTCTTAACTGCTACACAATCACATGACACATTCCTATTAGCAGAATATAAAATCATTTCCAGTTGTGTGTGTGTGTGCAGGTTTACCTAGAATGAAAAAATGGGTGAAGAATTTGTTTAAAGATTCAGATAAAAATGCAATAGTGCCTGAGATTTTAAAGTTAACTTCTATTTCTACTGATTATCTAAATAATTTAAAAAGAAAGTTCTTAGAAGTACATAGGAACTTATTATCATCATTATTATTTAATCTTTTTATCACTTGTCCCTGATAGCCATCAGGCTCTCAAGATTTGTTTAAATGAGCGCATTTTTATAGGGGAAGTTTAAAATTTGCCCACATTTCCACCAGGTGGCACCCTTCCGCTGAATCCAGTAGGTAAAAATATTTCCTAAAATGTAAAAGAAAAAGAAAAACTCCCAAAACAAAAACAAAAAACTAACTCTACTTTCTGGAGTATGACTAAAAAGTGTGTTTTTATAAGCAAGTGTTTTGCTACTGAGACGTATTAGTTATGCATTTTTCTTTAAAAACACATTCTGGTAGGAAACCAGTCTGTTGCATCTCAACTTGTAGCAGCCTCTCGGTGAAATAATTCGTGGTCGTTTATTGTGACCGAGGATGTAACATGTAAAATGCCTTCTGAAAATATCCATTTTACTTTTGGCATTTAGGTAATATTAACATAAAATGTTTCAATACAGAAATTGGGATTTGGTCTGGCAAACCTGATTAAAATTTTCAAATGTATGCTTAATGAAAACTCGCAAAAAAGTTAATTTCCCATATTTCCCTAATATATAAAATTTCATAATTTATCTATAAGTATTGTTTTTAATACCCAAAACCAAACCAAACCCACTGCAGCAGAGTTGATTGCAACTCATAGGCACTCTGTAGGACAGAGTAGAAATACCCCATAGGGTTTCCGAGGCTGTAAATCTTTAGGGAAGCAGACTGCCACGTCTTTCTCCTGTGGGCTTTTAATACAGAATCTTGAAAATAGATTTTAGAAATCATGTTAAAAAACTTATTTAATAGAAGATTTGTTACTTTTCTTCTCACCATTCAGTATATAAATCACAGCACCTAATTGGGGGAGACTGCTATATGATTTGGTTATAAAAGATAAGTTAGATAAAGTGTTATGTTGAAGTCTCTGTGGTTTGACAGAGAGAATATCCATTCTTAGTCTCCCTTAATTTCTTTATATATATGTGTATATATGCATAAATACAATACATGTGTAATTTTATCTACTGAATTTAGAACGTACCATTTAGAACATACCACAAAAATCCTCCTCCGCTTTTTATAAGCATTTTATCTATCTATCTAAAATATCTATCTAAGTATCTATTATCTGACTATCTGTTTCTTTCAGGTATTCGAAAATTACACATTTAAAAATATTAAAGTATATTAAAGATTAAATTATATTAAAGCAAGTTAAAGAAGATTATAGGATTAAATATTAATGTATTATGTTGTGAAGCGCATTACATTGAAAACAAAACACAAACTAAATTTCTCACAGTGAAAAATAAAGTGCTTTCAAAAATTTGGTTTCTTGAATTATTTATGATTACCAAATGTTTCAGTCGTTAGTACTTACAGGCATATTTGTAATTTATTTACAGTAAACCATGTACCGTGTATAATGCTAGAATATTGTGTCTAAGACTGTGCACATTTTTGTGATCAACACAAATATTTATTTAGAATAATTCATGAGTTATGCCCTGGGAGTCACACAAAGAGTCCTGTCCTAGCTTCACCAGTGGCTAATGTGTTTCCTTGGGCTGGATAACTCAATTTCTCCATTGTATCTGTGAATGGAGGCGACCACAGGTCCTTTACTGGCTTATTGTCAGGATTAAGTGGGATAATATGTAAAAGCTTTGGATAACGCCTGTCCTATTCCAAGTTTTTAGTAAATAGGTGGTCAGAAAATAGAAGCCTGGGTGGGGAGGGGGAAGCTTAGTAATCATTACTAAGCCACTTACAGCTACTATTTTAACATTTCATAGAATATCTCATTTTTCATTGTTCATATTTCTATGATTATGTATGAATTTGCACATACATACCTATATTAATGGTTTTAGGACTTTGGTACTATTTTGACAGACAACCTTACTTCAAAATACCGTACATTTCTGCTTCCTTTCAATCAAAACTCACTTCTTTTACTACTGTGTCAGGGGCTAGGTTGAAAGTAAACATTGGCTAATTCTGACAGGTGAATGAGCTGCTGGGTATGTTGAATGTTGTTTTCAGTGTAATGCACTTAGTAACAGCATAAGAAAGAGGATGACTGGAGAAAAGAGGAACATAATTTATAGAATTATTTTGGGGTGGGGGGGATTTCAATTAGTGTGGCAGGAGAGTGGGTATAGTAACAGAGTCCCCAGGACCCAAAGCTGGTGTGCGTACTGGCATTGAAGGGGTGGAAGGAGTGAGGTCAGGCTAGACATAATTCAAAAGACTTTTCCCACACAATTTTTTTTGACAGCTAATCTTATGCAACATTTAAATTCAGAAATCTGTTCTTTATGTTCCAATGATTGAAATTATCTCCATGTATTTTCATCCTTGTTGAGTGACCTTACGTGTTTTAAAACCAAGTTCATGTATTATTGAAACCTTATAATGGGGACATACACACTAATGCATACATTTTAGGAAAGTTTGGAGTTTTTTCCATGTGAAGACCAGCAAAAGGTCCAAAAAAAAAAGGTAAATTCATGATGGAGAGAACGCAAATTCTTTATAAATGCATTTTCTCAAGTGAAGTTAGAGATGCTCAGGATTTCTGCCTTAGTGCATGCTGTCCTCACCTTGAGAAACCATACTGCTTAGTATTAATTATTCCTAGCTCTACAACTT